TTTTTTCAACCCTATCTTGGGCATAATTCATCAGTTTGGGAATTTTTGATAACATATTCGTAAAATGACTTAAAAGAAATGATGTTGCCGATTTCTCACTACGGCAATAAATCGGCGAGTCGCCGATTTGTTGACATTGACGATTGTTGCCTATTTCTCATGTTTTGCATGGTGGGTTTTATTATATTTTTATCGTAAATTTTAGTGTATTTAACAAAATGTAGAGGTGCTCGGCAGATTCGTATCTTCTTCTACGTTTGTTTCTTTTGCGACTATAAATTAAAGGAAAATTATAAGGGCAAGTTTCAGTGAAAAATCATACATGTACTTACTTTTAATTTCATTAAGCAGTGCCTCTATTCCTGGCTTGGGCTTGGCGTTGATAGTTAACTGATAGAATTGTCTGTTAATGAAGTCCCACATTGCAGCGCATGGCTCGGCGTAGGCCATATTAAAAACATGGTATGCTTTAAAACATATGTCCACAGCTTTCGCGAAGTTGAAAACTTTGTAAATGATGTTGTCAAAGTCAATCATGAATGATTGTGGCTCATCTAGGGTTCCAATTAATGATATGAAGGGGGCAATAGATGATTCTGCCTGGACTTTGCAATCATACATTTGTTTATATTCCGTTTCAGTTGCGCAAACAACCATAAAACTGTCTACTGACTCTTTGATAGAATAAAGCCTTTTTTTGCATTAGTCTTATTATGAGCTAGTCGAGAGCGTGGCAGCAGTGACTGTAAAAGAACAAAAGCTTTGGCGCAAATGGAATCTAAGTTGAGCAAAACATTTGTAAATAGAATCAAAAACAAGTAAGGATAAAATATTTCGTTCCTGGTTATGTGGTTATATTTTTAACTCAGTTTACAAAAACAAAATACACAGCCAAATACCAAAATACAAAATTTTAACCAGATAACCAGGCAGGAGTGAATACCCCAAGAGTGTGTTTACCTTCTGAGAGATTGACTTTGTTTTTCTTTATTTTGTAGTACATATTAGCATAATCTTTGAATTCCTTGATGTGATTCGGAAAAACTTTATCAACAAGCAAATCGCAAAAAGCAGTGAGGTGATCAAGAACCTCATTTCTGGTTCCGAAAAAGAACACAAAATCAGACTCAATCTAAAAAAAAAATATTTTAATAAGAGAAAATAAATAAGAATGCGCTTTAGCCTTACCAAACGAAAACCATCAGGCAATTTGTACTGCGGCCAAACATCAAATATATGTTTTGGATTATTCTCTGCATCTCGAATGCTGTTCATACGTGTTGCAGCACACGCGCGCCAGTGTCTGATTTTTTCCTGATAAGCCATTGCATGGAGGTCATGTGTCAACGCTCTAATATGTTCGTCCTCATCTTCCCCTATTGAAAATGACGTCTGCTTTTGTTTTTTCGAATTACCGTCTGATGTCTTTGTCTTTTTATTGAAATTTGCTTTCCAATTCCTGAATTTGTTGTACAACTTGCCCAACGGAGCTGCGTTTTTTCGCTCAAGGTAATAGTATGACTGAAAGGGTAAAATTAATTTTAATGCTCATTTTGTGATAAGTTTTTACGATATAATCATATATGTAATACTCCTATATTGGCAGTAAGAGTTAGTACCGTCCGAAACCATTACCGTATAGATATATCAATAAACACGTACGAGAGAAAAGGAAGACATACCCCTGCAAAAAGTGGGACTAGGTTAAGTACTAGTACAGGACTACGCTACCTTGAAACCAACACTAGTAACCAAAATGGTCCAAATATATGGAGAAAAAATGGTAACATTAACATTGCTATGTCATTGGACCTGACCACCTCTGGTCCAACGCTGCATAACATGGCAAAATCTATAATTTGAAACGCATTTTCTTAAAAAATTCGCCGTGCCGATGGGCCACGAAGATGTGGTGTTCAACACATATATCAGTTTTTTACGCTTGAGGTGGTCCAGGTCAGCATAACAAGTTACTAGCATGCAACCTGGTCCTTTTGCACATACTTTAAAACTACGACCCAGTGGACCACCTGGTCCTCAAATTTTTGCAGGGACGTTTATAAATAAACATGTACACAACACAAACACAAAAAGGGCACTCACGTACACAATACATTCACAAAAACGGTACTAGACTGTCTCGCTTTGATTTCGGAATGGTTACACATTGAGAAGTTAGCTTACTGCCAATATAGAAGTATTACATATATGGATATAATAAACAGAAGGTGAATTTTGAAATGAAGTAAGAATAATTGTTTACCGACAACTCGCCAGGGAATACTTCGCAAATTTGACGTGAAATAGAAGCGCAATCAGTAACGGAAAGATCGTGGTTGTTCATTATACAATGTTGTAAAACCGATTCAACTAAAAGCTTGCGTAAATTATCATCCATGGTCTTTTGTTTTTTATATGTTTCAACCATGCTTTTGCCGTATGAATTTGAGTTAATAATATCAATCAAATTGATTGATGTCTTAGCCACCAGAACTTGACTATTGATATCCGTTGAACTTTGTGGAATAACACCTAAATTGTTTCCCCGACCTTCACTTGATTGGGTAGATTTATCGCACTGAAGATGCTCGTTCACCAAACATGGCGATGTAGTGGACTTTTCAAAGGATTTGATCCATTGCGACCATTGATAAAAAAACTCCACTCGACCACCAAGGGAAATATCAGTGTTTACAAAAAGATTTTCAGCAATTGTTTTTGATACGTGCTTTAGGATGCCTATAAACAATTGTTGCTCTACTTGCAGAATAAGATGAGTGCTAATATGAAAAATATAAAAAATGAATTTATTTGGGATACTTACGCACGAAGAAATCGTATAGATGTCCCAAATTCCAGCTGCATAGAAGAGTAGCTAATTCAGTTCGATCTTCATTGCTACCATAACGACTTTCCAATCCAAAAGAGTAATTCGGTCCATTTTTATCTTGAATTATGTTCGGTGAGCAAAATAAATCGTGCCCGTCGTTGTTCACAGTTTGGGTTGCGTAACTCCCTTCAGAATTTGCGTCAAATGTGGTTTCATCAAAATTGAGGAAGTTTGGAGATGTGAATGCTTCGCTGGAAACAAACACTGCGACTGGTTCTACCGGTTCCATGACATTAAGTTTTACTGTCTTGCTAAAACTTTCCTAGAACTAATACTATATTATTATTTTGGGCTTGCATTTTAGGTGTTAACAAAATTGTGTTGGCCGAATCATCGTTTTCCCACGCGTAATTTTATGTGCATTTATTGGTGGACCAGACAAAATTTCAGCAGGTAAAACGATTAGGTCACGTTGATTTCGTATGTCAGGAGTATGTACTTCGTATGCTGCGAAATGTTTATTATATTGTTGTATTTTTATTCGCTGACAAATAAAATAAACTGAGTCGCACTCCGTGAAAATAGCAACTTCAATTATCTCATAAACTAAAGCATTTTCAGCACAAATTTTGTCATCGTATTGAACAATGGAGCAACCTTTTTTGTATTTCTTAGAGCGATAAATACATTGGGAGTAGCAACGAAAACTAATTATATTGATCTCATTTCGAGCGCAAAAATTGTAAATTATTTCTTCATATTCTGAATGAGGAATAAGATGACTTGGTGAAATGGAATACATTCCTTCCTCGGGATAAAGCAAAAACTTCGCAAATTTTAGTTGGTATTTTTTTGAAATGGATACACATATATTTCTTCGACTCGTAATGTTTCTAGCATATGCTTTGAAATCGTTATGTTTTGCTTCGAATCGAAATGACCAATAATGACGGGGAGGACCAGATTGCAATATTATAGAAAAATAATGCACCATAAAGTGGTGTTTCGGTTTAAGCGTGTCATTAAAAAACCGTACATAATCTTTGTGGTGCTTCGTTATAAGTGACTTTAGCCTTTCCGCCATTGGCTTCGAAATCTCATTTAAAAGAAGAATATCAATTATTTGGAGCAAATTCAAAAAAAACAGCCATACATGATCGTCTTCTGGTACAAGGTCACCAACCATGAGCGAAAAAAGGCGTACAAACGTCATCATTTCACGCGCAGTCATTTTTAAGTGATATTTTCTTAAATGAGCAAAAGTAATTTCAGGGGAAATATGATCTACTTCAATTTCACCATAATTAAACATGAGCTTTCTCTCATTAAGAGTTTCTAATGAAAAATAACTGCTGGAAATAAAGTGATTTATAATATGACACATCATGATTCAATTATTAAAGGTTTTGTAAGTAGCTTTTTTCTAAAATTTGGCACTCCCACCCACAGGGATGGTTTTTGGAAGCAGAAGAAAAAGGGGAAGAATTCAATCACACTTCCTAAAATGGGAGCTAAATTCTATAAAAACGTGTGGATAATAGTGAATGGTGGTATTTTAAAACAAAAACGAATTTGATTTAATTATTTAATTTAAACAAGCTTATTTACATCGAATATAACCCCCTATTGTTATTAAAAATAAATATTTCTATGTTTATACCAAACTTGCGTACGTCAGATGGCGCATAACTCGAGAATGGATGGTCCACTTTCAGCTTTTTTTTGTTGTATTTGTTTGCCAGTTGATGGACATGAAGAAGCTATTTGTTTGCGGAAAATATGCAATATTTATTAAACAAAAAAACGGCAAATAAAAAAATTTGGAGCTTACGTTTCTTTCGCGGTTATGGCTCGATTGTTTCGAATTCTTTGATGTCGCACTTTTTATGTTCTGGGGAAAATATTCAACACTGGCTTGCACAGCCGCAGTTGGCGATTGGTGCCGGACGAACTCAGAGCACGCAGCTACTGAACGACTGAGATAGGGAACGTGATCTACATCGTCAAATGAGAAGTGGCGTAATGGGGCTTTCGCACGAGGCGATTTTTCAGGCAACTTTTGCGTTCAACTCCCGCCGGGTTGCACGAAAAAAAATTTGAATGACTAAAAATATCAAAATATAAAAAAATATTAAAATATTCGCCATAAAAAGGCGTTTGTATTGTTCAATTTTGCATTCTACTTTCAGCTAATCGCTTTCAATAAAGTTGGTCGCCAGCCAACATTCGCCTCGTGCGTACACCTTTTAAGTGTGCAATTACATCGCGCCATTGCCAAACCGCATCCATAGGCCCAATCGTCACAC